TTATCATCTAACAAAATACAAAAAAATAGTTGTTTAGAAAATTACTTAAGAAATGAAAGGAGGTTGAATGCTCGAATAAATGAACTTTGAAAATAAGGCTATTATCGAGCACAAGTTAATTAAATCTAGCCCAAGTATCCAGATATTGACAGAGAATGTAGCGTAGAATCTTTAAGTAATTTTAAACTGTTTGTCCTCGTTTTAGTGTAGTGTTTTGTAAAATTTTATGTTATTTTTAATGTTTCCACATTCTACGCTTGCCGGATAGTTTACATTTTGACGAAATGCCCCTGAAGATGCTATTTTAAGCGAAAGTACTTGGGCTAGATTTAATTAACTTGTGCTCGATAATAGCCTTATTTTCAAAGTTTAATTACTTAAGAGCCTATTTATTATGAAAACCGGCAAAACAATTCCTACCATTCATAATACAGAAATGAAGTTTTTAAAAAACATGTAGGTCCTGCCTTTACATCATGTCTCCATCTTACACCTAGAATTTTCTTTCTTGTCATTATAAATTGATACATGATTATAACCATCATATCTAAATTCCATATGGGGTCGTTTTTTTGGGGAGCTTCCGTTTCAACGATTGTGGAGAAGATTGTTCCGCTGAAGGTCTACCTCTCTCAAAATATTTTTCTTTGGAACATGGAGAACTTTGGCTTTAGATCTATAGATCTATAATTCAGCCATGAATTTAGCAGTGCTAAATATATGACATGGAAAATCATTCGTATTGTCCACTTTCGTGATCTTAAATGGGAGCGATACATACTTAGCAAAAAGTAAACTTTGTCTACTCCTCCCAGATTTGTGTTGTAGTACTGTATAGCCTCAGGTCTTGGAACTTCAATATATTGTTTAGTTGCTTTATCCCATCTTTTACAGTAATCTTGTGTCCCTATACCTTTATAATTTGATGCTACAGTGAACGGTTTGTTATCAAAACCATTTCGTGATCACTATACCATCCCTGCTAACAGAAACAGCACTATTTCCTCGGCCTTGTTGTTTCAAGATTTTGTCACTAGGGAGCGGTGGTTGGAGAAAACGATTTAGTCTTATGGTAACCACCTAATCTATAGATTTAAAGTTTAAATACTGAAAGAGGCTGACACGTACTGAAGTAATTGTCAAAGTACAAGAAATGAACTTTTTCTGCAATTCTGTCAGATAAATGCATTATAACGCCTGCTGATGCAAAAAAATGGATATATATATATATATATATAGGGTTCAATTCTGTAGTGGACCCTTGATATTTTATAAAGTTATATACAAGACTACTTTTGCCAGCTAAAACATAAATCTTGATTCCCCATTTTTTGGACTTATTTTTGATGTATTGTTTTATATTTATGTTACCCTTGAATGGTACTATTTGTTCGTCCATACATAAATTTCTTTCTACAGTCAGTTCTAGACAGACATCTTTTTCTGATACTATCGTACAAGAAACGTACCTTGCACAGTCTAGCTGTATTATTTTCTGGTTGGTTATTTATATCCACGAGATGAATATTTGCCTAAGTTTGGAAAATTTATTTATGGTCTGTTATCTTTTACCAGTGGAATTCCAACATGTAAGAACCAATACATTCTAACTCGAGGATATTGTACATTTCCCATTATTACGTGTATCCCTTTAAATTTTATTTTTTAATCAGGGGTCGTTGGAGAAAATCTTGCTGTATGCTTGTACACGGAATGATGATTTGTCATCTCAGCCATTACTGAGATAGATAGATATCATCAGATATATACTTATTGAAAAAATCAATTGGTGCTGGTAAATCAACAACTTGCTCTGGAATGGGATCATAACATGTTACCTTTCTGGTCTCGAACTGTACATCCTTCATCAATTTTATTTGCTTTTTCTCAGTAAATCATGGTTTTACTTCTTCATCTGAACGGGCACTTTAATTTAAAAATTGAACTATTTCATCATTAGTTTCATTTGAGTATCATCCTCCCTACATCATCTTCATCGTCAAGATCCACAGTATCTAAGTCATCGTCATTTTTAAGATAATATAGTTGTGGTACAACTTCATATGTAAGTGGTTTTTTACTATATTTAGCCTTATCTGAAAATAAATATGTCATGAAAGAACATATTTTACACGAAAATATGTATTATTCGTTTTATCACAAAAACATCCTTAAAAGCAGTTTGTACCTCATAAGATACATGTAATTGAGGTGCCCAAATTACTACATTGTATCATTTACATTTTAGAAACTAATACATACTATGATAAATTACAGTGTTTACTTCCCTATCAAACATATATCCGCGTTTATTCTCGAAAATCAACAGTAAAAACAACATAAACAAACAGACTATCCTAACTTCTTGCAAATGTCACTCAAACGAATTAATTTCAAATCAGGTTGTAACTCTCAAGCCTAAACAAAATCGCGTGCAGAATGCAGGCGTCTACTAAATGATCTTTGACCTGCAAAATAGTTTTCTTGGGTAAGTCCCATTGATGTTTGAAATCATACATAATAAATGTACCTATTAAGATACAGTGTGACTGAAGGGGTTAAAAGTAATGATAATAAATATGGCGCTCATACTGAGCTCTAATGAAATTCCCCTTTCACACGACATTTATTAATCTCTCCTACAACGATCATGACAGTAGTTATTATTACTTTTTCATGCATGTCTGACACAATTTATGGAGTTGTTTGCACAAATCTGAAAATTTTCTTTAGCGTGTAAACATGTGCATACAATAATATCATATAGGTAACTATATTGTTATCCAATATATCTACTATGAAATAACTCGTTTTTCGCTATTTTTCTGAAGACATCCCTAGTCTCTATTAGAGTTTTTTGGTTGATACATTTTGTTTATTACAAATATTGTTATGGCAACACATGTCATACAAGACAATAAGTCTGCCATGACTTTCTTCATCTTTCCGTCATTTCCTTTATGAAATTTTTTAGACCATTTTTTTAAACGTAATCAAAGTAGAATGTTACTTTTTCTGTTGCAGAATCTTACATCTTAAACACATGGTGATATATACATATAAAATAGTATAAAAGAATTCAGTGTTAGCTTCATTCAATGAATTTGCCACGGGCAACAGATGGTATGGTTAAGCCACTGGAAATAAAACATATAGAGTACAATTCTTTAAAATTAATATTTTTAGAAATAGCTGATCCACGTATTCTAAAGATCACGAAGATTTAATAATTTCTTCTGTTATGAATTTGTGTGAAAATTTTTATTACTTCCTATTTGGATTTTGATAATGAAATTATCTATTTTTTAATTTGTGACATTTCGGTGTTAATGTTTTATTAAAATCAAACAGCTAAAAGTACAGTAAAAATCGTAAATATTCAGTAAAAATCTTTAAATACCTACATATTAAATATTGTTTATCGCTTAAAATAATTTACTAATTAAAGTACCACTCACATGTTGCATAAATTACTACTAAAATATTCTGTACATACAAAATTAAACCTTGTTATGAAAATTGGTGTATAATAACAAAAAAATCCAAATCCTTACAATAATGAACAAAATTTTATTGAATTAGTTGTTTTTTTTTACCAATAGATGTCTACCTGTTTTATAAACTTTTGTTTATCCAAATTGTACACGTATGCTAGCAGGGGTCACCAATTCACCAATTATATTCCCCGAGGGTCCGGACACTCAGCACTAAACTAAGCAGAGGCGTAACCGGGGGGTTACCCACAGAAACCCCCCAGTAGTTATAACCTCCCTCCGGAGATCTTTCTGATTACGAACTGTTTCTAGTTGTTTTCTTTCTGAAACTATATTATGCAACAAATTTATGTATCCACATACATATCCATGGAACATATCCAAATCTATTTAAACATTTAAATGCTGGTAACAGCTTACCCTACCATAAATAGCGTTTGTTTACTTTACAACTGCAGTTCTATACATTTTACGGTAATTAAAAAAATATGAATATAAACCTCCTTTAAAACGGAATCTTCCTGATACTCGATCATTTCCATCTGAAAGGCAGCTTTGTTACTCTTAAAAACGTCTGCTGCTTTGCTAGTCCATACACCATTAGGTGTAAGTGAAAAACTGTTGCTTAAAATTTGCACATTTCCAATTCTGTGGAAATCAGCAAATCGTTTTTTATATTCCAAATCAAGTTCATTAATAAAACGTGAGAACTGGGTAACATCAATATCTTTATTACTACTACAAACGAATTAAGGAAGAGGAAAATGCAAAAGTTCTGCCTTAATATCCCTAGAAAAATCTTTTTAGAAAAACTTCTAATATCCGACAGAAGTTCACAAACAAGGTTTCCCTTGCATTGTAGTTTTAAATTCAAGAAGTTCAGATATCTGAAGATATCCGCCAAAAATGCGATCGTTGCAACATTTCCTTTGTCCAAGGTAAAGCACAAATGGTAATTTGCAACTTTATTGTCAATAGTGGACAGAAATTCTTTTATGTAACAAAACATATTGTTTACATTACGAGTAATTCTGTATATTAGTACAGTGCATATTAAAAATAAAAATATATTTATTTTTAGATTTGATTATAATTTTACACTATAATTTTATTACTATATTTTGAATTTAACGGCGGTCCGCAAAAAACAAGCTCACGGTCCTGATGCGAACCGCGGTCCGCCATTTGGTGACCCCTGTGCTAGGTCGTAAGAAATCGTGCGAGAGCACGTGAGAGCCAACACTGAATTCTTCTTGTGAATTTTACTATAGTAACCTAAACATGTGCATAATGCAAAAATCTTGCCAAATTTGTTCTATGGTTAATTAAAAAAAATTGATCGTATATTCTTATCTAATAGTAATATAAAATATATAATATAGCCCTATTGAGTAATTTAATAAAATTATCTTAGTTTGTGCTGAAATTTTAGAACGCTATATAGAACATAAAAAAATTAATAAACAGTAATAATTGACCTTTGTTGAAATTTTTTAATATTTACAGAAATTCAAAGAAATAGGGAATTTTACAAGAATGCCGATGTAAGGCCCCCATTTACATACGCGTCCCTAATTAGACAGGTAAGTTTCGTTACGAAATTGTAGCAAGGAGAAATTACATTTTTATCCCTTTTCAGTCTATTATTGAATCACCCGATAAACAGCTGACACTCAACGAAATTTACAATTGGTTCCAAAACACATTTTGCTATTTCAGGAGAAACGCTGCTACTTGGAAGGTATTGTGCTATTTTTTATTAAACTTAAAGTAAAATTATAGTATACTATTGGTAAGCATTACATTTTTATTCAAGCAACAGATTTAAAACCTGCACAGGTTAAAATAGTTACATACATTGAAAAAATATCAGTAAAATGTCCAGGATATATAAGTTAACCAAGAAAAGACGTAAAATGCTTGATCTTTCATTAAAGAAGATGTGGGAAAATATTAAGCAAAATGATAATGAGATAGCCAACAGTCTTTTGCTTTTTCGATATTTCTCATACCCTTAAAAATTAAAAATTAATAACTATGGATAAAATATTACAATATTTCATAAAACAAACTCTTCTTCTTCTTATATTCAGGCAAGGCACGCATGTCTCTGGCACTTGGTCGTAAGACCTTTATACCAAACCCTCTACTTTCATTAATTTCCATCAAGAAAACCCAGGCTCTAGATAAAATTCAGTAACTTTCTTATGGAGCGTTTAGGAATTTAGCAAGATCTGCAAAAGATAGTTTCCGGTTTCATTATTTATTGTGCTCATAATTAGCTTCTATACTAGCTGTCTAAAATCAGCATAATGAAGTAAGTAATAGGACATATATTGCAATCCAGAGGACGTCTTGTCCATGCGAAGACTTACATGTAATCCTTTGAGGCACAGTCTTTAAACCAAGTATTGCCCCTAGTTCCACGCTAAAGGCAGGCTAATTTCAACTTTAGATCACCACTGCTAGTCTCTAGAATGTACGTCAGCACCAATTTAGATTCAGGGAGTCCTTCAATCTTAACAACATTCCACTGATTTGTTTCTTTAAAAAGGTCCTTTATTATATTAAAAGAAATGATATTTTCTTTAGTACATGTACACCCGAAATACCCGTCCACGAGGCAACTTTCTTGATAGAGAGTATTACATTGAACTTAAAGTTCTATACCATAGGCTCTATTTCATTATTAGACACCATTTTAATTCGAGTAATCCTGGGCATTACTGATGTCGTGATCTCTGTTATAGTAGTTTGGTATATTACCACAATCTTCTCGGGGAGGAAGTTGGATAAATGCTCTTTGTTGTAATTTTCTCGGAAGTAATGAATGAATGACATCGATAGGAGGCGCCACATCAAGTTATGACTACTCCCTTACCAGAGAGTTTAAATTGGGAAAAGAGCAGACATATGTCTGCAAATTTGATTGTTGTGGTTGTATTTTGGAGTGTTAGGGGAACGAGTGGATTGCTAAGAAGCATTTGTCAGAATTGTTGGTTGAGAATGATTGTTAAGTCTGCGATATTGTAGTGATGTCACTTGTAGAGTGTCAAAGTATTCATTAGGAACCTCGTTTCCAGCCAAGTTGGGAGTTTTGACTGATTAATTCTGACGAATAATCTGCACGTTTCCTCATGATTGTTCTTATATTTTGCGTTCGGTTGCCATGGTAGCATTAATTTCTACCTGTATTCTACCTGTTCTACCGACCTGTATTCAACAATTGGCCTTACAAAGTGATGCCGAGTTTACCTGATAAAGCTACGAGGGGTCCAGCCCTCTTTCTCACCCTATTTAGAGAGAGTTTTAATTCAGTATCCCAGTTGAGATTCCTCTGAAATTAAATGACTAGATAGGACACCTATCTGTGGAATGGAAGTCTATCTCCATAGAGCTCCATCCGGGTGCCCTCCTCTCTACATCTAGGAGTACCTGGATATCTAAAGAGGTTGGCTTGTGTTTTTGGTGAATTAGAAGTAACTCTCCATGTATTGCGCTTAGGATTTGTCGAATACAGATTGATTCCTCAACGTCCCAGCAATAGTTCCTGAGAAAAGTAGTGCAGGATCGTTGGCATATAGTAAGATGGATTCGGAATTATCTGTTGGAGGTGGGGGTGGAGGTCAGTGTTGTAAACTGTTTATAAAACAGTTGCTAAAATTGAGATCTGGGGTACTCCAGCTTGTGTAGGATTTATCAGTGATTTTAAGTCGGATCCCCCGATTGGAGAGCTAGGAATATACGATTGAGAATCATTATGCAGCAAGATGATACTCTTTGGAAGTTTTTTGAAGCATCTCCTATGTATGATATCTGGGCCATGAGACGTGTTTTTGCCATAGTTACACTTCCGTCTGATGGTGTCCTCCTGCACAGGGGCCATAATCGAATTTTGGATGCTATAGTCTCCAAGTGCTGTGGATGGTAGTAGAGTATGTCTTCTAGTCCCCTTTTGGTTTCAAGTTTATATCACTTTTTGAAATTTGGGCTGTCAGGGTGATAAAAGTTGCCTGGAGTGTATTTTTGAAGGCTTCTGCTTTATCTTGCGGATTAGATAGTATGACGTTATTTACTTGGAAATGAGAGTAAGGCTTTTACTTTTGTTTGGTAATTGTTTTGAATTAGTTCCAGAATTTTAAAACATATCTTTGGTCCAGACCAGAGGTAACTCGTCTCCATCGTTCTTTTTTGAATTTATTAACCTCGAGTCTTATGGTTGTATTCTATTTTGATGCGTGGGTTTCGGAATCTTTTATACTCTCTGATTAATCTGAGCTTAGTTTGGATTTTAGTCAGTATTCGTTGTGGAAGCATTGGAATATATGGATAAATTTTTATTATTGGACTGGGTAGGGATGAAGCCTCACAAAGAAGAATTTTAACTTTAGAAATCCCTGTGTCAATCTTACTGGTTTTTGACATGTTACCTAAGTCAGGAATGTTATGATCGGAATACTTCTAATAGACGAATTGCATTTTATAAGTCTTTATCGCATCAGATTGATCATCTTTCTAGTGTCATTACTATACTCCCGTATGTCCTTCAGCCTCTCAGTGTTAGTATTAGGCCTCATACGAAAGGATATACGATCTGGTGCCTTCAGTAGACCGTTCATTTTTAACAAATTATTTGAATTTTTCAATTACGTGCAAAAATTTCAACGGATTTATTGCTTTTTGAAGTTTTGAAAGAGAAAAATGACAATATATTTGTATATATTTGTATGACTTATTAATAATAATGCGAATATACAATAAAATAAATATACGTTCGTTATATAAACACTCACGTCTCTTTTAATGCCTCTGGATTTTATTATTGATTTTAGTATAGGTTTATATATATAGGAAAAAACCAGATAGGTTCCTAACATATTATGGACACTTTACTGATAATGTTCAAGAAAATTAATACAAAACATTTTAAAAACCAGCAATATTTGGTAATTTATAAAAGGCCAATTAAAAAAAAGGTTATGAACTTAGCTATATATTTTGTCTAGATTCGGTAAATTTTAGCCATTTTTCTTTTATTTAACTTTTATTAAAACTATTTATTTGGACAGTATGTAATTTACAATTTTAAGAAAAATAAATAAATGCACCTATTCAATTTAAATCTCGATTTGTTTAACATAATCTTCTACACGCTTTATAAATCTGTTCGAGATATTTTTGAGGTTATTCCTTGATTAAAGCTTCTATCAAAAATACCTTATTTGAATACCTTTCATTTTTTAGGTTATATTATTTTGTTAGTTTGACTATCATTATAAAATATGTTCTTAAAGAGATCTGCCAGTACTGAATGTCTCTGAAAATTACAAATACCCGTTGAACTTATTGAAGTGATGAGTGAAGTGAGCACAAAGGAGTTAACTGAACTGTTTAACGCCATATACGATTCAGGTAATATCCCACAGGAATGGCTATTGCCAACATTTGTAACACTACCAAAAAAAACGATCTGCGAAAACATGTGAATATTTCCGAATTATCAGCCTTATGAGTCATGCACTTAAGATTTTTCTTAAAATCATACATACGCAGAGCAGTCAACAAAGCCATGATAGCATCGACGATCGCCAACATCCGGGCTGGATAAGGCACTGAAGAAGAGAAGGGAATATATTATTAGAGATAAAAAAGATCAGACCAATCCAGCAAATGTCAGAGACAAACCTTTTAACAAGCTTTAAGGTCTAGAATAGAAGGCTGAAAAAAATATTAAGTGAAATACTACAAAATACATTAGAAGACGAATACTCATATTCTTAACATTTATAAACTTATAGACTGCCTTTTACATGGGTATTTGAGATATCGTGACTTTATTGACAGCAGCTCTAAATAATGATGCAGTCAATTTTCCATACCATTGTCTTCGATTTTTCAGCCATGATGTTCTTCTTCTACCAGGACCCCGTTTACCTTAAATATTTCCCTGATTAATCAGATTTAAAAGTTAATATTTTTCAGGGTGTCTCATATTGTGACCAAAGTATTCCAGCTTGCGTCTCTTGCGTCTACAACAAATGCCTACATGTGCACAAATACAAACACCTACAACTAATACCAGAGAAAATCATAAATGTTCTCAAATGTGTGCGCAACATTGTGACATAGATCTCGCAGCTTAAAAGCACAAGATCAAGTCACTTTGAAATGAAGTTAGGAGTGAATTAAGTAGATAATAATTTTATTGCATAGAGTAATCAGACTTATCAGAGAAGGACTGGTCAAACACACATAATAGTAGAGTATAAATTATTTACACCGGTTAAAATAAACAAATTTTCAGAAAGCTTTTCCAGAGTACCAGAAAACAAAATATTTGTGCATAAGAAAAAAAGTAATAGACCTAATTTTAGGCGAAGACGTATAAGACAAAATTAAGGGTTGCGAAGATTATAAATACCTTTGAGCTACAATTAACAAATAAAAAACAGACTAGTAATATATTAAGGAAATAATGTCGCAAGGAACGAGAGCAATAAACAGATTGAATGGTATGGAACGGTGCAAAGACAGTTAATATTCAACGGAAAGATCAAGGAAAAAAGAGGAATTGGTAGGAAGA